TTCCTTCCTTCCTTCCTTCCTTCCTTCCTTCCTTCCTTCCTTCCTTCCTTCCTTCCTTCCTTCCTTCTTTCTTTCCTTCCTTCCTTCCTTCCTTCCTTCCTTCCTTCCTTCCTTCCCCAAGTTTTTAAGAAGAGACTGGACAGCCATTTGTCCGAAACGGTATAGGGTTACCTGCCTGAGTAGGGGGTTGGACTAGAAGACCTCCAAGGTCCCTTCCAACTATTATTATTATTATTATTATTATGGGTTTTTGAACCCAGGTCTACCTGAAATGGGCTGACTTACAGAATGGGCTCCAAAATCCGGAGTCTGTGGCTTCTGAAATTTGGGGAGCTTCCTTCGAACCGCGTTGCAGACACCCCACAATCGGGCCTTTCCACAACTTTCTCTCGGCGGCTGAGCAAAACGTCTAACCGGTAATTAGAAGAAGCAGAGGAGGCAGCAGTGGAGACAGCTAATTCTCTCCTTTTGAAAACCTGAATCATTTTTCCAAGAATGCACCTTCACACTTCAGAAAACACCTGATTGTTTTTCTTGCCAGTGGCGGTCTCTGAGCTGTCTTTCATGATCCGTCCGCGGTGGCGCTCACTGGCAGGTTCAGGGGGGAAAAAAAAGGTTCTTTTACATCTTAAATTCTTTTAATGTTTGTTTTTCTGCAGGGAAACTGGGACATTTCCTCTCATCCCCCCCCCCCCCCCGAACTAACTTTTCCGAACTAGCTTTGCTGGGACTCACATGTGGCTTGTTTGACAGCCTTATGTCGGATGAGTGCGGGGGAGGAAGAGGAAGAGTTGCCTTAGGCAGGTTTGTGTATACAAAATGAGGAAAAACCCCCCCCCCAATGTTGGTAGCTAAGGTTTGTTTTAGAATAGAAGGAATGAAGAATAGAATAGGATAGGATAGGATAGGATAGAATAGAATAGAATAGAATAGAATAGAATGAGAGTAGAGTAGAGTAGAGTAGAGTAGAGTAGAGTAGAGTAGAGTAGAGTAGAGTAGAGTAGAGTAGAATAGAAAATGGAATGGAACGGAACAGAACAGAACAGAACAGAACAGAACAGAATAGAATAGAATAGAATAGAATAGAATAATAGAATAGAATAGAGCTGGAAGGGACCTTGGAGGTCATCTAGTCCAACCCCCTGGTCAGGCAGGAAACCCTATACCATTTCAGACAAACGGCTGTCCAGTCTCTTCTTAAAAACTTCCAGTGTTGGAGCATTCACCACTTCTGGAGGCAGGTGGTTCCACGGGTTAATTGTTCTCACTGTCAGGAAGTTTCTCCTGAGTTCCAGGTTGCTTCTCTCCTTGGTTAGTTTCCATCCGTTGCTTCTTGTCCTGCCTTCAGGCGCCTTGGAGAATAGCTTGACTCCCTCTTCTTTGGGGCAGCCCCTGAGAGATTGGAAACACAGCCATCCTATCCCTCCCCCCTCGTCCTTCTCTTCGTTAAACTAGACATCCCCAATTCCAGCAACCGTTCCTTATATGCTTTAGCCTCCAGTCCCCTAATCATCTTTGTTGCTCTTCTCTGCCCTCTTTCCAGAGTCTCAACCTCTTTTTTACATCGTGGGGACCAAAACTTGATGCCGTATTCCAAGTGTGGCCTTACCAAGGCCTTGTAGGGCCTAAGATTTATTTCATGGTGCCTTCTCTTCAGAAAAAAGGCCTCCGAGGTCTCATCCCAAAAGGTTACTTGATCCTTGATGGACTTGCTCTTTATCCGCACTGTTTCACAGACGGTTTTTGACTATCAGAAACTGGAAGGATGCAGAGAAATCCTTAAGGAGTCGCCCTTCTTGATATCCTCTCTGATTTCCCACCCCCCCATTTCCTCCTTCAGGCTTCAGATAGAGGAATCCTCAAAGCCCGTCAGCTGGACGATGCAGCTGGATAAGGCGGTCACCACCAATTACAAGCCCGTGGCCAATCATCAGTACAACGTGAGTCGCTTTTAACCTTTTTTTATTCTGGTTCTTCAACTCAGGTTAGATGCCTTGCTGGACAGGTTCCTAGGTATGATTGTCCAGCATCACACACTACTTAGTAAGGGTATTGGATGGATGGATGGATGGATGGATGGATGGATGGATGGATGGATGGATGGATTGGATGGATGGATGGATGGATGGATTGGATGGATTGGATGGATGGATGGATGGATTGGATGGATGGATGGATTGGATGGATGGATTGGATGGATGGATTGGATGAATGGATTGG